GGGAATCACAGTTGACCCCTGTGATTGATTGATTTTCAATAGGAACAGCAGAGAAATTCTTTTCTCAGTCACATTTGTTCCTTGACTCTAAATATTCAGTAACTTTCCAACCAGAGATGCTGTTTCTTCTTTCTGTCCTATATAGTTTTCTGTGGTTTGCACGATCATTTCCTATGACACCTTCGTTCTACCATTTGCAGGCCAGAGATCTTTGTATAGTTTCCCATGCCCACAAATACATCCCTGGGTGGTGCTAAGGAAACACCAGTGGAAATGGGCCACATGCTATTAGAAACAGCAGCCTGACACATTCTTGGCATGGGATTGTAGAAATTAGAGGTGGGTCCCAAGCCAAAATTCTAGATCTGAACACCCACAGACTTGGTGGCTGTTCAGATCCATGCGTGAGCTTTGCGTCTCTAGCCTCTCTCTAGTTAGAATATTATAAGCTGTGTAGACTGGTAGATGGGATTGGTCCTGCTTTGAGCAGGGGATTGGACTAGATGACCTCCTGAGGTCCCTTCCAACCCTGATATTCTATGATTCTATGATTGATTCTATGACTGGTGACAATCAGAGAAAAGGAGCCTTGGACATGGAGAATGAACCTCAGCCATAGGAATTCTAAGAGCAAGTGTCATAGCTTGTAATTCTAGCCTCATTTCATAGGCTGGAGAAGACGATGTTTCAATTAAGGAAGGGTACAGTGGTTAGATGAACCTGAATCTTGAGATGAAATTCCAGCTGAGCTCAGATCCAACATTTTCTAAAGTTCAGATAAGCCTGGTTAACTCCTTGTTCATAATTTGCATTTGCTTTTGCACCTCCTGTCTTTGGCTGAGACCAGTAGCAGGAGTGCCACCATGCTGTGTGCAGTATTTCTAGCCTGTCATTTTCAGACCAAAGAGCTCCGAAATGATTAACAAACCCTGCTCTTCCTTTAAGACGGTTCAAAGCTTCAGAAATGCAGATAGAAACTTTTCCAAATGTTAGGGGTGATCAGATCTGGTGTTTTTATTTAGGCCTGTCTCTGCACTGAACCATAGGCACTCTAATTATCCTTACGTCTAATGGTGAATGAACCCTGGACGTAACAGGGTTATATCGAAGAGTGTCAGTGACACTGAATGAAATTCCACAAAACCAGGAGATTTGAAATATCTCATTGAAACACACAGCAAAATCCTTCGCCACAATAGTGAGAGGTTTAAAAACCATCCTTAAGATTAATCCATGAGTGAGTCTCTCTGTAAAGGAGTGAGACTTGGAAGGCCTGATGTAGAACATGAGAAATGTAACCGCCTCTAATTATATTGTTTCCTGGAGAGCACTTGTAATTGAACTTGAAAGGAGTCTTGTGAACTGCAATGGGCAGGAGTCCAAGGAGTGAAGTCAAGTCTGGAAGGGTCTGCAGCACCTTGAAACTCAACCAGGCACCTTCTAATTCAAGTATAGCTGTCCCTCCGGGAAGCATTTAATTACATTACAAATATATTTTACTTAATGAATAGATGGTGAGAGCCTTTGGGTCTGCATTGATTTCCCCCCACTCCTGTTCTTTTAACTTTCGTGTTATTGAAATGCTCTGATTAACTTTCTCTGCTTGATATTTCCTATTGTCTCCACTGCTTTGAAACAGGAA